CACCATATACCTGGAGTGAATTCACTTCTCTTTCTTTCCATTGAGTGCACCCAAAATAGTATAGCTGATGTCATTGGCTGTATCGGGGGCTCAGTAGCCTCTTCTTTCAATTCTCTCTAGGATCTCCTAAGCATCAGTCCTTCTCTTTTAAGTCTGACGAACAGGTCGGAAGTCAGCTCCTGAGGTAACAAGAGAGTTTGGTAGCTGTCTCGTTTTCGCAGGTTATATGTGTTCCTTGAAGTGAACTCTGTATGGCGTCCACCGCGGCTATTGTCAGGCCTACACTACCCGTGACTGGGCACATTTGCCAACGTTTCGCCAGCCTTAGCAAAGAGCTGAAGTTCATCAAAGTATGATATTATTTGACGGTATGAAGACCAAGATGGTGTGGCCTTTTGTGTGGTCGCAGTCTCCTTTCACGATTCTACGAATGGCAAGACTCACTGACGATGCCGGCGAAACGTCTGGGAATGTACCACGTCCACGTTCCTACTCTGGAAATGATGATGCATACAATGGACTCCGGACTGGGTGCGTTCCTCTAAGTTTTCCTACCAATATGACCAAGTTGCGAAAACAAGGTCAAACAACTTCTATGATATTATTTTTTGTATGATAAGTGGGTTTTCGAGAATACCGGTAAATTTAATATAACAGCTGTATTCACCTTATTTCATTTAATATGATGAAGGTAGTCACGAAAACCCACTGATACAAAAATAAGAAGTGTCGTTAATTGCTATAGTAAATATAAATTTACTTTAATGGCCCTTCCTCACAGAATTGTTATACGGAAAAGCCTAGGCTTCTTTTAAATTCACTTCTACCCTTCTACCCAAATGCACTTGTGGAAGTGTGTCGTGATGGTCAAGACTATTCGCTGCACAATTATGGTTCGAGTCCCGCTTAGGTTGCTGATGAGACCAGTTTAGGTGAGGTCGAAACTGCAGCTCACTCCTGCCTGGATGCGAATACCTTCTGGGAAGCAAGACCATGTCGAGCCTACTCATAGCATTTTGTGGAACGCCAACTACCCATCCTTTAAAACCTTACCCGTATCGAGTGAATACAGTTGCTCTATTCTAGACTCGTCACTTTGACAAGTTGTAGCTCGGGGCCAAGGATGGCACTGTTCATTGAGGATGCAGATTCCAAAGTTCCGATGCTGGAAGGGCAAATTTTATCAAAAGATAGAGGATGTTGTGCCAGATGCCTTCTTCAAGGTCGCCTTGAGGACACTACTAAGTCGTGAGAACGAGGCCAAGACAACTCAACTTAGAAATGGGTTGACCTCGTTGTCGCAACTTGGTCTTGTTGTCAGGGGGACTATGTAGAACGCACCCAGTCCGAAGTCGTCTGCCATAGTAGTTGCCATGATTCCCAGCATCTGACAGTGGACTCATTACATTCTCAAACGTTTCGCAGGCATCGTAGTCGGCATCATCAGTGAGCTTTGCCATTCTCCGCACAAAAATACGAACTCGTCAGAGACAAAGAGACAGAGAAATGGTCAGATGCTGGGAATCATGACAACTACTATGGCAGACGACTTCGGACTCGGTGCGTTCTACTAAGTCGGCCTGACAACAGGACCAAGTTGCGACAACGAGGTCAACCAACTCCTACAAATCGAAAGGAGACTGCGACCATACCAGAGGCCACACCATCTTGGTCTTCATATATTCAACTTAGAAAGATTGTGATTCGCGAACCGATTTGGATCATTTGTCTCTCCTAGCTAGACTCTCTGCCACAATGTCTGTAGCGAAGCAGCCTCGACCGACGAGATGACGGCCTCTTCTGTCGAGGTCACTTTCGCATCGACAATGAGCCCGGCGTCCAGGTACGTCAAGATGGGTATTGCAGCAACAGAAGATGTGTGAAGGAAAGGGGAATTTTGCATCGTTTAGGAGACGAGAGATGCTGAAATGCACTAAATTGTACGCCTAGCTGTGCCAAGCCCACCTTTGCCTAGAAGTACAGCTGCTGCAGGTTCTATGGGCCAACTTCCAGTCTACACCCAAACTGTTCGAGTGTGGGCAAAGTCTAAGTGGCTAGAGCATTACTTGAAGCCAAGACGAAAGATGAGGAGCAAGGGGCCAGTAGATGAGGCCAAACGGTAGTTGAAGGGCAAGAAAGTGGCATAGAGACAAGGATGCTGTGGGCGCGGAGAGGTATGAGATGCGAGAGAAACTTAAATTTGTCATATTTGTGCAAAGTAAAAGGGGGATATGTGGACTGTGATATACGAACTGGTGGGGCATGTGAAGGCAGAAGAGCGCATAGAGTATGGAAAAAGCAAAGACACTGCAGAAATAAAGCCGAGAGGAAGTGAGAGTGCATGCATGCATGAAAAGATCGGACCAGAACTTTAGAAGAGAAGGTTGCTTTGGGCCTGGATCGGCGTGGCTGGCACTTGACGTACACTTGATAGAACCCCTTAAGATTGTCAGTCCCTCCATACGCCGTCTACCTTTGGCCATCTAACCTTGCTCAACCGCCCACCCTTAATTCTGCCTCCGCTCCTCCTTTACGCCCATTCTGCATTTTAGCTTTGGTTTTTCACACCTCTTTCATATCTTGGAGAGCATGGCTATAAAGTTGCCTGGCATGCAGCACCATTTCACTTTCGTGGTTACCTCAGAAGGGCTATTGCAAAAAGTGGAAACGCCAATAAACAAATGAATGAATATAATGTTAGTCGCTAATTTTAAGTTATAACACTTGTAAATATTTTATCACCAATAGTTGCAAGCCACCAACTAAACCGGGAATATAGATGCAACCAAATCATTCGAAGTCCCTTCTAAAATTGGCCAAAATTGAAGATAAATTGATTTCAGTACCAATATAATATAACTAATTGAGGTCAAAATGAAGAGGAACCAAAGAGATGTATTCACCCAATTTCGTGTAAGGTGATGAAAGACTGGTGGTAAAATTTTCCCACAATGATATGAGTTGAGCTGACGTTTCCAAAGCAAGGCTATGCGAAATTCAATGGAAACGTCAGCTCAACCAATATCAATGTGGGAAAATTCTACTACCAGTCGTTCATTACCTTAGACGAAATAAGGCGAATACTGATTTACTGGTAGTCTCGAAACTCTACTCTCATACGAACCAAAGAGAGCCTACCTCTTTATGTGCACCAAATAAGTTTGCTTCGAAATGACCAGTTGACGTTGAATAAAAGCTCAGGCCATTTTAGTTATAGTATAGTTGATTAAAGGACTGATAGTAGAATTTTCCCCAAATAAATTAAATATTGTTAAGGGGACTTTCATTTCATATGAAAGTGCATGAAGAAGAGATTTGTTGGTCAATCTCACCACATGAGGACGGATGAATCTCGTTGTACTGCAGATGTTTGGCTTTTATACGATATTCATGTTGACGCAGTCCACGAGACTTCCTCCCTCGTTTCGGGTGAAAACGTGCTGAGCTTTCGTCCATCAAATGATGGACATCATCAGAGCTGTGTGTCATTCTTGTAAAAGTCTCACGTTAACACTAAAGAAAAAACATTATCCGCATCTATCTTACTACTTATATAGACTCAATTGAGCCAAAAGAAAATTAAAAACCTAGATAAATCGGTACAGAGTGGTTTGGTCAATTATCTTTCATACTGGTCCTATTACTTTTGCTCGAGTGTATGCGTATGTGTATGTGTATGTGTGCGTGTTAGCGCCTATATGTGATACGGTTCCTAAATCAGAGTCATCAAATCATCAAGCTAATGAGATATGAACTTGCAAGCATGAAAATCAAGTTACGAAACCCCTTGTATTAACATTTTAGTATCTTCGTATGTGAATTTAATATGCTTCGGGATGTATGAAGAAAAGCTGGCTTTATAAAAAGCCGTCCAACCTAAATTTTGAATTTTGAGGAAAAATTAGGTGGCAGGGTTTCGGGAAGTGGACTAGTCGGAAAGCGAATGATGATTGCTTTGGAATGGAGAACCTTGGAATGTACAAATAAGTCATCGTTTCACCATCATGCGATTACTTTGAATTCGTACTGGGCTTAGTGCATTTAGTTCGTTTGTTCCTAGATGATGCTTTATCGCTCCAACGACGTCTGTCACGGCCTTCGAGACTATCGGTAATGCTTGAATATGAATATAGCCAACCAAAGTTGCTTAGGGACTGATACCGGAGTTTTTCAATAGTGAGATGAGTAGGCTTCCGGATGCCATTTAATTTCACCTAGTCGAGGTACACTAGATTCCCCATTCAAATTTATCCTAACCTATTATTTTCAAAAAGGATTACTACCTTATCTACGTCTAGGTGTGACTTGGATTCTTATAAAATACATACATATTTATGAGCTGTATTCACCCTATTCCGCTTAAGTTGAAGAAGGACTGATGGTTGAATTTCCCTACAATGATATAAGCAGACCTTACGTTTCTACTGAATCTCACATAAGGTGAAAATATCTCATCCATATTATCTATTGGTAATCTAGGAAACCTAATTATAAGCGGAAAATATATTTAGATTTATAGAAGTGGGTTGACCTCGTTGTCGCAACTTGGTCTTGTTGTCAGGGCGACGTAGTAGAACACATCTTGTCCTAAGTCGTCTGCCATAATAGTTGTCATGATTGCCAGCATCAGACAGTGGACTTTGTAGATTCTCAGACGTTTCGCCGGCATCGTAGTCAGCATCATCAGTGAGTGCTGCCATTCTCCACACCAAGCTACGAACGCGTCAGAGACAAGTGCAATTAATCCTTCCACCAACTTTCTGCCGAAAACGGTTATACTATCACTCCTCTTTCTGTCCTCTTTACTCTTTTATCCCACTGCTGGCCTATCACAACTTCTCACTTGTTTACATTCCACTCTTCAAAATGTGTGCTATTTTGTGGCAAATCTACTGTGGCCACATCACACTTGCTATTCACCCCGAACCCTCTCTTTCGATCGACTCATCCGACTCGGGCCTCCAATCCAGATCCCATCATTGTCTCGCAGATCCGTTCCTTCTTTTTCTGGTTGACCGGTCTCACTCGGTTCCAGTCTCAGTGTGTATTTCACTCCAAGTACCATTTTACAAGGTTCTAGAGGCACATACACTGTCCAGTCTGTGCGATGTCATCCTCTAGTTCTGATCTTTCGGTATCCATTTTCCTGCAGTCTTTGATGTTCCTTGATTCGTGTGCTAATTTTTCTCCCTGTTTCGCCAATCTAGTTCTGATCGCAGGCGCCTCATGATATACAGTAAACTCCTGAATAATCCATTTTATCTACCCTTTCATGTTGCGTCGGTAGACTTGTGAAAAGTGGACTGCGACCATACCAGAGGCCACAACACCTTGGTATTCATATATATATATATATATATTGATTGATTCGAATTTTAGTCACTATACACGATGTGACACCATGAATTGTAATGCAAATTCCCGTTTTCTCAGTTTAATTGAGAATTCGGAGAAGAATGGCATTTCCTGAAAGTCAAATCTGACTTGAGACCCACTGATGGCTGGGCTGTATCTCAGACGGTTAGGGATGCTCATGAAAAAGATAGTCCATCTCCTTTTTGAGTGCTGATGAGATTAGGTAGATGTAGAAAATTCCACCCGGTCTGGATAATACGAATTGAATTACATTGGCGTTATGAGGCAAAACCCAAACAACAGTCCTCACTTCATCTTCAACGGCCTGAGGTGACTCAAAATTATATCCACGATTTACCAATAACTTCGAAA